CGCGGAGAGAGCAGCAGCAGCAGCAGCAGCAGCAGCAGCAAGAGTCAGGCTCTGCAGAGCATGCAAGCAGCAGCAGCAGCAGCAGCAGCAGCAGCAGCAACTTGCTGGAGGAGTTAACAACTGCTTGGGTCAATGAGCTGTTCCCAGCAGCTCCAGAAAGCCCCGCAACAATGCGGCTGCTGCGCAGCAGCAGCAGCAGCAGCAGCAGCAGCAGCAGCAGCAGCAGAGATGGCCACAGCAGCGATGAGGACAGCAGCAGCGAGCCAGACACAACTGTGTCTCCTCTGGATGCTCTTGATGTCAGTCTTTTAATTTAATTTAATTTAATTTTAATTTTAATTTTAATTTTAATTTTAATTTAATTTTAAAATTAAAATTAAAATTAAATAAATAAAATAAATGCAAAAGTTAATTTAAATCTTCAAATGCATGCAGGCAGCAGCAGGGCCTCCAGATACCAGGGGATATCATGGACACGCTGTTGCTGCTGCTGCTGCTGTGTCTGCTGCTGCTGCTGCTGCTGCTTCTGCTGCTGCTGCTGCTGCTGCTGCTGCTGCTGCTGCTGCTGCTGCTTAGGACCTGGCGCTGTGCGAGGGGGACTGGCGCAGCGGCGGAGCAGCAGCACAATGGGAGTCGCTGCTAAACGCCAATTGGAGGCCGCAGTGCGAGTTCGGCAGGTCCTAAACCCTAAACCCTAAACCCTAAACCCTAAACCCTAAACCCTAGGCGCTAAACCCTAGACCCTAGGCGCTAAACCCTAGACCCTAGGCGCTAAACCCTAAACCCTGAATTCGAGCATTTAAACCCTAGCAGCCTTGCGGCCTCTGCAGCCCTTTTGGAGCAGTTTTGCTGCACCCGAAACCCTAGTCATAAACCCTAAACCCTAAACCCTAAACCCTAGCCCTTTACCCTAAACGAGTTTTCCCTAAACCCCTCAAACCCTAGGTTTTAAACACTTGGTAAACCCTAAACCCTCAAGAAGCTTCAAACCCTGCAAAGGGTTTTAGCGCCAGAAGAGGCTCAGTGACACACTAATTAGGGTTTGCCGCGTTTAGAGTTTAGGGTTTAGGGTTTAGGGTTTAGGGTTTAGGGTTTAGGGTTTAGGGTTAACATTCCTCGTTTAGGATTCCTCCACAAAGCGAAGACAATGCTCCTTCCACATATTCTGGTTTCAGGGTTTAGGGTTTGGGTTCGGTTTAGGGTTTAGGGTTTAGGGTTTAGGGTTTAGGGTTTAGGGTTTAGGGTTTTGCAGATACGTGGGGGCCTCGAATGTGGAAACTGGCATTAAGGAGTGCGGCTTCTACGGAGACGAATTTGTTCTAGCAGCTAGTGACGATGGGGCTGCATGCGTTTTCCAACTCCTAGATGGTGCTGCTGCTGCTGCTGCTGCTGCTGCTGCTGCTGCTGCTGCTGCTGCTGCTGCTTGTGCATTGGTTCTGCTGCTGCGGCTGGCTCGATGCTGCTGCTGTTGCTGCTGCCGCTGCTGTTGCGAGCCCGCTCCCGCTGCTGCCGCTGCTCCCACCGCCGCTCCTACCCCTGCTGCACTGCTGCTGCTGCTGCTGCTGCTGCTGCTGCTGCTGCTGCTGCTGCTGCTGCTGCAGGGCAATGCGTGAGCATTTTAAAAGGACACCAAACCTCCTTAAATTGCGTCCAAACAAACCCTAGGGGCCCCTGCATTGCCACGAGTGGCATTGACAACTATGTGCGCCTCTGGCGGCCGGGGCCCCACAGCAGCAGCGGGGTAAGCCAGCAGCAGCAGCAGCAGCAGCAGCAGCAGCAGCAGCAGCAGCAGCAGGTGCAGCAGCAGCAGCGCGACAGGAACAGAGAGGACACTCACGCTGTAACCAACACTGGCAGCAGAAGCAGCAGCAGCCGCAGCAGACAGCTGCGGCAGCAGCAGCGGCAGCAGCAGCTCTTGCTGCTGCTGCTGCTGCTGCTGCTGCTGCTGCTGCTGCGCATGCAGCACAAGCCAAATATTAACAATTGTTTAAAATAAAATTATGAATTTAAAATATTTATTTTTTAACTTTTTAATTTTTCTTCTTTTTGCATTTCTGTGTGTTTGAACTGCAGGACGCCCTAGACCGGTAAGAGAATAAATAAATAAATAAATAAATAAATAAATAAATAAATAAATAAATAAATAAATGAATAAATATTTAAATTAATAATAGATAATAAACGAATAAATAAGTAAATAAATAAATAAATAAATGATAATAATAAATAAATAAAATAAATAAATAAATAATAAATAAATAAATAGTAAATAAACAAATAAATTTCAAAACTCATTTGGGCAGAAAGCGCTGAATTGAATTAAAGAAATAATCGGCGAAATTCAATTTAAAATGTTTAACTTTTAATTTTTAATTTATTTTTTTTAATTTTATATTTTTAATTTTATATTTTTAATTTTAAATTTTTTTTCTTTTTTATTTTTTATTTTTTATTTTTCTTTTTTCCCCGGCTGCAGCCATTATGCCTTTGAGGACACAAATGCCCACATCAACAGATGTACAGTTCAATAAACTCTTCTTGGGGCCCCCAGGGGCCCCCTAGGGGCCCCCCAGGGGCCCCCTAGGGGCCCCCTAGGGGCCCCTCAGGGGCCCCCTAGGGGCCCCTCAGGGGCCCCCCAGGGGCCCCCCAGGGGCCCCTCAGGGGCCCCCTAGGGGGCCCTTAGAGGCGCTTCAGGGGCCCCCAAGGGTTTTCTTGGGGGCTTCTAGGGGGCCCCTAATGGGTTAAGAAGGGTTTTAGGGTTTAGGGTTTAGAATTTATCTGAGGGGCCCCCAGGGGGCCCCCCAGAGGGCACTAAGGGGGCCCTCAGAGGCCCTCTCAAGAGGCTTTTATAAAGGCCACAAAGGGGCCCCCAGGGGCCCCCAAAAACGCCCCCCAAGGGGCCCCAGAGGGCCCCCGAAAGGTCTTCCAGGGGCCCCATGAGGGGCCCCAAAAGAGGCCCTTTAGGGGCCCCTAGGGGCCCCCTCAAGGGCCCCTACCGCTGCCAGGGGGCCCCATAGGGTACGATTAGGGGAGCCCCGCGGGGGCCCCCAGCACCACTTGTGGGGCCCCCCAAATGCCCACAAAAGGGCCCCTCGGCGGGGGGCCCTGGGGGCCCCCAGGGGGCCCCCGTCGGTCCCAGGGGGCCCCCGGGGGCCCCTGGTAGGGGCCCCCCAGGGGCCCCCTAGGGGCCCCCTAGGGGCCCCTCAGGGGCCCCCTAGGGGCCCCTCAGGGGCCCCCCAGGGGCCCCCCAGGGGCCCCTCAGGGGCCCCCTAGGGGGCCCTTAGAGGCGCTTCAGGGGCCCCCAAGGGTTTTCTTGGGGGCTTCTAGGGGGCCCCTAATGGGTTAAGAAGGGTTTTAGGGTTTAGGGTTTAGAATTTATCTGAGGGGCCCCCAGGGGGCCCCCCAGAGGGCACTAAGGGGGCCCTCAGAGGCCCTCTCAAGAGGCTTTTATAAAGGCCACAAAGGGGCCCCCAGGGGCCCCCAAAAACGCCCCCCAAGGGGCCCCAGAGGGCCCCCGAAAGGTCTTCCAGGGGCCCCATGAGGGGCCCCAAAAGAGGCCCTTTAGGGGCCCCTAGGGGCCCCCTCAAGGGCCCCTACCGCTGCCAGGGGGCCCCATAGGGTACGATTAGGGGAGCCCCGCGGGGGCCCCCAGCACCACTTGTGGGGCCCCCCAAATGCCCACAAAAGGGCCCCTCGGCGGGGGGCCCTGGGGGCCCCCAGGGGGCCCCCGTCGGTCCCAGGGGGCCCCCGGGGGCCCCTGGGGGCCCCAGGGGCCCCAAGTCCCATTTT